AGGTGCCATCTTATGCTTAGCCCAGCACCTCCTATTTCCATTCTTTTATGATCTGCAAAGTGTGGTGACCTCACTCTAAATCTGCTGTCCCATTTCATCATCCAAACAGCCCTCTGGAGAGCTGGGACTAATGGCCAGACCAAGCCCACTGAAAGGCTTGTGTAAAGCAAACCAACGATCGTTTGTATGTGGCTTTTGTGCAAAAGCCTAGCCTGTGTCTCATGGTGTTTTAGAATGTGTGTATAAATGTATGATACACATTCATATGTGTTGCTATAGCGACATGACAGCCAATGTAACTGGTGGACAGGGTCCATTAGAGGAAGTGAGACACAGTCTTTGGTGGCTAGAAAAGCAAAATGTTATACAAAGAAATAAACATTTTTTCTTCACCTGCTTTGTTTCCAATTTCAGCACCAGTCTCCAGGCTGAGTGTGAAAGAGTAGGAAAGACACACTTGTTAAGAAGCTCAGAGTCTAATGCATGAAGTCTAAGTTTATAAGAATACAGCTTTTCCTTCTTTGTCCTTTTGTGAAAATCCCCAGTCAAAAAATATGAGACAGCGATTCTTAGATTTGGGCCATCTTCGAATCTGTGATGGAGATTACGGAAGCATTTCCTGGGCTCCAGTCCCAGGAGATTTAGTTGGTGTGCGGCCCTAGGTTCTGCATGTTTCACATAAACACCCCAGGTGGTTCCGGTGCAATGGGCTGCAGACTGCAGTTCACAGAACCTCATTCTACAACCTTGAGTCAAAACTGTAAATCAGTTCGTTTTACTTTAATTAAGAACCTGTCATTGAAAAGTATATGTCATTCCATAAATGTTGACATAAAGATCTTCAGATATTCTTTATGTCCTTTTGCCTTTTGCCTAAAATAAAACTATCCACAGTTATTTCCCAGAACCAGTTAGAAAATTAAAGCAAGACTAAGAACAAACAATCACTGTCACCACCATCACCACCAAAAAGATCCACCAACAGACCCCTGCCTGGGGTGGAGACATGCCCCACTTTCATGATGGATGCCGTGGCATCACAATCTGCTTTCACACTCGGTGGCTTCAGTGGTTCCTTGAGCATGTTCGGCCATCAATATGAGGAGCTCACTGGCAGAATCAGCAGGATGGATGAAAAGCCAGCCAAACCATAAAGTATTACTTAAAGACAAAGTAGCAAAATGTGAGGCCCTCTTGCCCTGTGCTTATTCAAGTATCCCAGCAATTTTACCTTCATCCCTGTGCTGCCGGGTCTGGTAGGTGTTGATCATCAGTAATCTATGAAGAACTCAAATATGGCTTCTAAGAAATCCATTTTATGTGCATAACATTTATGAAAGGAACAAGATATTGTGGAAATATCCGATCTGCTCAGAATCCAGTCACAAATCCTTTTTGGGGAAAAGACCTAAAACCATTCTTGCATTCCACTCTTTATGAAATGTTAAAAAGTAGCTCTGTGTCTCAATAAAACGTTGGAAAAAAAACATATCTTTGAGAGGAGGATGCTCCAATATTTAACGTTCTGTATGTTATATTCTGTCCCACCATATGACAGAAACAGAGCCCATTCTTTAAAAAAAAAATTCTGTGTGACAACCACTGTCTTCCAATTTGTTTTAATTCAGGTAAGAACCATGTTGCGCTCTGTGCAGGGAACAGGGGGCGGTCCTACAGGAAAGAATGGAAAGGAGAAAGAAGCAGGTACCTAATTTAACACTTAAACATGTAAAACTAGCTCCTGACCTGACGTAAACCTGCAGAATGTATACAGTGTTTATTACACCCAGCAGATCCTATCATCGCTCAAGCCACTGAGGCTAGCATTGGTTTCTATTGCTGTCCTAACAAGTTACCATAAACTTAGTGGCCTAAAAGAACACAGGTTTATTATCTCACTGTTCTATGGGTTAGGATTCCAACAAGGATCTCACTGGATGAAAATCAAGGTGTCTCCAGGGCTGCTTTCCATTCTGGAGGCTCTAGGGGACGATCTGTTTCTTAGCCTTTTCCAGCACTTAGGAAACACCCCCCCCCACCCCATTCCTTGGCTCATGGCCCCTTCCTCCATCTTCAGCACTAGCAACAGCAGGTAAGAGTCCTCCTCACAAGGCATCATTCTGACCTCCTTTTCTGCCCCTTCCACTCTTAAAGCCCTCATGTAATGACATGGGGCCACCTGGACAGCCCAGGATAACCTCTGCATCTAAGGTCCTTAACCTAACCAAGCCCATCTGCAAAGCACATCTGCAAAGCCCCCTTTGCTACGTGATATAACATATTCACAGGTTCCAGGGACTGGAATGGGGGCCTCCTCTGCAGGGGAGGGGCATTATTCTGCGTACCACCACGCTACTGACTCAGGTGCAACTAATAAATATCGAAACTAAAAACATATCTTTTCTAATTTCACCAGAGCACAATCTAGAACAGCAAATGAAGACAAAGCCAAATTAGAACCCTAGGAGAGTTCCACTGATGACCATAAAATTGCACAGGTACTGGTCTCTTTAGTAGTTGTGTTTTCCAGATGTGGCTTTTTCCCCCCTGCATAGGCAGACTGATTGTAGAAATCTCGTCCAAGGCGAAGAGTGCAGTGGTGGAGGGAGGGAAGGCGGTGGCGGAGTGCGCGTGCCTGGGACCCCACTCACCTCTGGCTATGAAATCGCAGCTGGATCTCAGGGGGCCGATGGAATGGTTTTCTTTGGACCTGCCCTTGCCCGAACGCGGGGATCCTTGTGCGCCTCCCCCAGGAGGCCACGAGGGGGCGCGGCGGTCCTTCCCTGGGAACTCGCCTGGTACTCGCGGGCACTAGGATGTGCCATGAGTCGGGATCTTGCCGGGCGCGCGTGTCAGCCTGAGTGCGCAGAGCTTCCTGACTGTGGTCACGCATCCCCGGGGCTGGCCCGGGCGGCGCTGGGGGGGTTGACTGTGGAGGCTGAGCTCCTCGGGTAAAGTCATCTTCCTCGGTCTCCTCCAAACCAGGCTCTGACCGAGAGAGATGGATCCGCGCGCTTCCCCGCCGGCGGAAAGGCTTCTCTCGTCGTCCTCGCAGACCCGGCAGCCTCTCCTGTGTTGCCGGTGTGTGTGTGCGTGTGTGTGTCCGTGTGCATGTGTGTGCATGCGCGTGTGTGCACGTGTGCGGGTGCGGGTGCGCGCGCGCCGGGGCTGAGGCAGGAGTTGCAGGAAAAGGGAAGAGTAGTGACAAGAAAAGTCGGGAGAAGACCAAGGAGGCTGGGGAGGAGGCAAGAGGAGGACCAGAGCTGGATTACCCAAATGGGAAGGCAGCTGGGGGTAGGGAGCCAGAGGAAATGTCCCATTTATGAGGATATAGTTCTTAGTGTTGGGCTCATTCCTTTCTTTGGAGACTTGTCTGTCCCTGTGGGGTGTTTTCAGATGCCTGAAACTTGACTGCCCCACTTCAGGCTGTGGGTGCACCTCTAACAGGTGCGCTTCCCTAGCGATGGGTAACAGGCCCCCTGGGCGTGCACAGAGGTCTTACTCAGTGCTTCCGGGATGCTTAGGGAAGGGTCCGGTGAGTGGAGCCCTTTCGGGAGTTTCCTTTGGAGCAGCGCAGGGAGGTGTCTGGGTATCTTTGCCCTCCCTCCAGTGCTTGGGTTGCAGCACAGTTAGGCAAAGCTGCTGTCTCTTGCTCACTCCCCAGGGAATAGAAGTCAGTCTGAGCCCCCATGTTCCCCAGGGACACCCTACAACACCTCAGAGAAAGTGGGGACTTCCCATCAGGCAACTTCGTAGTCATCTTAATCCTTCCTTTGGAGGACCTTTGACAGAATAGAATGATCAAGTCTTTAAAGAATGTCTTTTAGGGGCACCTGGGTGGCTCAGTGGCTTGGGTGTCCGGCTCTTGATTTGGGCTGGGTCGTGATCTCTGGGTGGTGGGATCCACCCGGCTTGGGGTTCCACAGACTGAGCGCAGAGTCTGCTTGGGATTCTCTCTCTCCCTCTCCCTCTGCCCCTCCTCCCGCTTGCACACTCGCTCACTCTCTCTCTAAATATATAAATAAATAAAATCTTAAAAGAAAAAAAGAAGAAGAAGAATGTCTTTTGCAGAGGCATGTCATCTGGCAAAGATCCTGTTTCCACCACAGACCTCACAGAAACACCCACTCAGCTCTTGGACAATGGGTCATGGGGCTTCTTGCAATCCCAGACAGAGTCAAGCAAAAACCGCCCTTAGAACTGGCGCTGTGCTTTTTAAATACAAGCTTAAAGGTTTTCTTCTTTCAAGGATTCCCCCTGGCTCTGGCTGAAGTCTCTATTCTGTAATAGAGAATCTATTCTACTCAGAATCTAGATCGACATTTTCCAGCCTTGATTTTAAAATAGTGGATGCCACACCAATACAGAGTAATAGGAACTGGGTCCGCCCTCCTGCCCGCTGCAAGAAAACACAAACAAAACCAGACAAAATATTTGAAATGCAGATTTTCAAGATACTGGACATCAGGCCAAAGAGGATGGTAATGCCCAAAGGATGGGAAGCAAATAGGTAAGCCCTGCACCTGCTCCCATTGACTGCCTGAGAGAGTTTCCAAGCAAGGCACAGGGAGGGGAAACTGAAGGGGAGCCCAGGGGACCTCAAGTTGAGGACACTGAGCTGAGTCCCAGGAGGCCAAAGTAGCTAGAGGCCGCAGGAGAGAGGACCAGGGAGGAGAGAGCTGCTGAAAGTCAATGAGGATCATCTGTCCAGGGGCCCCTCCAGCATGCAGCACAGTACTGATCAGTGCTTCCGTATGTGACAAACTAGCCAAGCTCAGGGGTAAGTAATTTGAAAGGATTAGAAGGAACAGTGCCTGGCACTCACACAGGGCTGGGAATGGTGCTTGTTCCCAAAAGACAGACTGGAAGAAAGAAAAAAAAAAAAACCCTCGTAATTCATGGGGGAGGGGTGGAGTATTCCCTCAGGATCGGGGAACTCATTAGCCCTGGACTGAGCACTGCTCTGGGCCACTTCACAAATCCTGAGAGCAAGACCGGAAATGATCAAACTGTTTCCAAGTAGGTGCATCTCCGAACAAAGCTCAGAATTTATAGGAACACGAAAACATCCAGCAGCCAACAAGGTAGAATTCAGAATGTTTGGCATTCCACCAAAATCTCGAGGTATGCAAAGAGGCTGGGAAATGTCCCTAAATGAGGAGACCAATCAATCACTTGAAAATGACCCCAAGATGGCACAGATGTTAGAATCACCAGAGAAGGACTTAAAAACATTTTCTAAAACGGTAGTCCCTAAGTTCAAGATATTAAGTAGGCAAATGGAAAATAGGTAAATGACCCAATCTAACTTTAAGAGATGTCACCTACAATGTCTGAAAGGAAATTACTGTAAGGGATTGACAGCAGTTAGAAAATGCAGAAGAAAAACACTTGATAGGACCTGTATGGGGTCTGCAGATCCCTTTGGGGGGCACTGCCCCCTTCATGCCAAGGAATCTTCCAATCCCTGAGCATGGGATGTCCTTCCATTTCGTTAATCTAGTGCAGCACTATTCTGGAGTTTTCAGTGGACAAGTCTTTTGCTTCCTTGAATAGATTTATTCACAGATATTGTTTGGGATGCCATTGTAAATAAAACTGTTGTCTTAATTTCCTTTTCAGATTGTTTACTGCTAGTGTATAGAAATAACTGGTTTTTGTCTATCTGCAACTTTACAGAATTAGTTTATTGACTCGATTAGTTTTTGTGTGTGGATTATTGGGGATTTTTCTGCATATAGGAGCATGTCATCCCCAAAGAGAGATAGTTTCATTTCTTCTCTTCCACACTATTTTTGCTGACCTTCCGTTTTGAGAGACATTTGGGCCAGGTGTAAAAGCCTATATAGCCCGCCACAGCCCACCCCTGGACTCTGCAGGTCAGAGATGAGCAACAACGACAGGAAGTTCCCTATTTTGGGTCACCTCTGCCGGGAGTCTTGGATCAGCATGTGCAGCCTAGGCTAGGGGAACAGATCTGGGGAACCCTTGCTCTTTGCAAGCCCAGCTCCAATTGGAAGGACCACAGGGACCTCTGGATACCCCTGCAGGGATGGCTCATGGCCTGGGAGCTGCCAGGATGCCAGAGGTCAGAAAAAGACAAATCCCAAAACACCCAGCCCAAAGACCCTGTGTAGACATAGGATAGGTTAACGGAGCCACGGGCACTCTTCTCCGGTGGAATCACAAGCCTCAGGCAGGTACGGGGCAGGGGGGAGGCGGGGGCTGGGGGATGGCTGCTGACTCCAGGCCTTGGGGGTCTCCAGAGTTGGAGTCTAGAGGCCTCTGAAGGGGACTCTTCCAGGGCACGAGCCACCTCGCCCTCCTGCTCACCGTCCTGCTCCGGGGTCAGAAAGGGGAAGCTGTGGAGTCCAAAAGGTAGAACCACAGGCTCTTAACACAGGGACCCCTTTCTCTGTTATGATTCAGATTAGGACCCAAGCTGCAAGGTTCCAACAGCACACCAGTCAGGCCATGAGCACTGCACTCACGACCAACCTGTGGTGCTCTGGGCGGGGGGGTTGGGGGGGGCAGTCTCAGCATTTGAGGTTAGTAGCCCTCCCTCCCTCTCTCCCTCTCTGTCCCCTCCCCTCTTCACTCCAGGTTGCCTACCCTCACCTTTCTCCTGCTCAGAGCTCCCCATGCACCCCTCTCCCTGCACAAACATGCCCAGACTGAGGGCAGCCCACTGCCCTGGATGGGGTGGGGAGATCACTTCTCTCCAGGAGGCACCCTCTGGATGTCTCTAGAACTTTTACCTGGTTCTAAACAGGTGCCGTAATAAAGGTTTTTAACAGCCACTTTGAACAACTTTTCACATCCCCCAGTTCTGGGCTTCCTCTAGGACCGAAGACACAAGGCCACAGTCGAGTTCTCAGTCCCCGCCAACCCCAGACTCCCAGCAGAGCGCATCCTTCACAAAGTGGATGGGTACCTACTCGGTGCCAGGCCCTGCTGTGGCCGTATTGTGAGCAAACCCCATTTCCCTGCCTCATGGAGCCTCCACTAAAGGCTCGAGGGTGGCGCGGTGGGGACACAGGTGGTCAGTGTCCTTCCCACTGCCCACACCACCTTGCTTGGGGGGATTTGCTGTGAACCAAAGAGGGGAAGCCCAACAAGAATGGGAAATATCACTTCAGCCTGAGAGGTTGTGGTCTTCCCCTGGAGCTCAGTGGCTTTCTGGGCGGCACAGAGCAGGTGGGAGGGCCTTAGGCCCACTTTTCCTGCATCATGTGACCCAACTCACCCCTGCTGGGTGTGGAGAGCCCAGCCCCGTACCTCCCAAATCACCTTGAGGCAGTCAGTCCGTCCTAGCAGATTTGCAGCTTAGCAGATCACTTCTCCAGCAACTAGGGCTCCCGGTGTCTATTCTTGGAAGAATCACCAGCCAGCAGCCCTGCCCCACCCTGGCTATGCAGCCCAGTATCCACCAGCTCTGCTTTCGGGGGAGCAGGTGCATATTTGCAAGCTAGGGCTTGTCGTTAGGCAGCCTCCTTGTCCTCTGAGAGCCATGACCAGCTTCTGAAGACCCTTGCTGTGTTCAAGATCCCTGGTGTGGACTTGGATAAAACTTCTGCACATGAAAAGCTCCATTTTGAGAAAAGCTCCGTTTTCCTTTTTGAAACACATAGCTAAGGAGCTCGAACTGGGTAGAAAGACCTCTAAACTGGGCCAGAAGTGGCCACCGTTTTACAAGCAGCCGCTCTTTAAAATTCAACAGGATGACTGGCATCTGGACCATAAAGCTGTCGGTATGAACAGGAATGTAGCCTCAGAAAGATATTCGGGGTGTGGGCATCCAGCACCCTGAGCCCATTCGGGTGCTCGGGGTCAAACTAGAGCTCCACAGATTTGGAGCTCACCTTGCAGCCCAAGGCCAACTGACCAGGTGCTCACTGTACATCTGTTGGGTGCCCCAAGTCTGGGTAACTAAGGACAAGTGGCTGCTGAGGAACAGTCACAGCAGTGGGTTATTAAAGAAACACCTGAGAGCTGTGAGCAGTGGAAAGGCCATGTGGGGTGGTTGGGGGTACCCTCTAAAAAGAGATACCTGGGAAGTTGTGATTGCTGGAGAAACCCCAGCCCCGAGAGGCAACCGGTCCCCCAAAGAGGACTGACAGTCCTTAGTGTAAAATGAGGCCTCAGAAAGCTACTCAGAGTGTGGGCTCCCTCCACCCTGGAGGCTCTGCAGGTGGTTGGGTTAGGCCGTATGTCCACAGGCCTGGAGTGTCCCCGGCAGCCCCAGGCCTGCTCACAGCAGGCCAGAATATCCGGGACCTAGAACAGGGCAATGCCCGGCGAGACTGGTTACCAGGAGGAAATTGTTGGAGGGCCTTACCCTGCATAATCGGACCTCTTTCTCCTTCGGGAACAGCTGGAGAACTTGCATTGTCCTCCTGGGTTGGGGCCTGACCACTGATTGGGTGGCCTGCAAAAAGGTACACCCAGGGGCCTTGAGCCCTGGAGAAGCTTGGCACCCCGCCCCCCACCGCCAGACAGTCTGTCTAAATGGGGAATGACTGTCACCAGTTTAAAGCTGTCACCTCAGCAAGATTTTCGGTGGGTGGGCTTCCTGTACCCTAGGGGCTATGCAGGTGGTTGAGGATGGCCTGAGCTCCACAGACTGCGCTCACCAAGGCCAGCTCACGGGGTCTGCGTAAGCACGTGGCCAGAGAAGCCAGGGGAGCCAGGCACCTAAATCAGGAAAGCTATAGGGATAGGCCAAGTCACAGGAGCGGGCACCTGGGGATGCACATCTGCCTAGTTTCAGTCCAAACCTACACAAAGGCACATGTCCTGCTGGAAGGGAGACGTGGAGAAATGTGGATTGACAAGGGGCAGACAGTGAGTCCACAGGCTGCACAGGTCAGGGCATCGGCCCCCTGGACCAGGGCATCTGTAGGGAGAGGCCAGCTCATGGGAGCGGGTTTTTGAGGGTACCCGGCATCTGCTTCATTGGCAGAGCCCGGTGGGAGCTGGCTGGCAGGGGTAACCCTCCTGCAGAAGACCTCTGGGGGCCCTGATGGCTGGAGTAGCTGGAGACCCCATCAGACAAGCAGTCCAAATGGGGACCACACTCAAGCTGTCACCTCTGATAGACTCTTGGGGTTGGGATCCCTGGCCAGGAGGCTATCCTGGTGGTTCGGGACCGGCCTGAGCTCCCCAGGCCAGGAGGGCGCCAGATTCCCCCAGATGCGCTGAGCAGGAGCCTACTGAGCATGCACGAGCCTTGCAGGTCAGGAAGCTAGTGAACAGGGCAAGTGTGCGGAAGGCCGTGTCTCTGGAGCAGGCCTGTGATGGTCCAAAGCTTCCGCTTATTTCCAAGCCTTGTCCTGCACAAATGAGTCTATTTCTTCCCCGAAGGTAAGGCTGGTCTGCTTTGCCCGTGGGCCCGTGTGGCTGCCAGGATATCCTTCCCTAGGCGATACCTGGGGGAGCCTTGACTTCTAAGCTTGGGACCCGATTAGGCCGGCAGGCAGTTCCGCGAGGGCCCGTCTGTCACCGTTTCAAGCTGCCACCTGAGAAAAGTGGAGGGAAGGCTTCTTCCACCCTGTTGGGGGTGATGTGGGACTGATCCGAATCTCCGCTGGCCTGGAGGTGCTTAGCTGGCTGACAGGGTGTGCAAATGCACATCCTCGAGCTGCCCAAGTCAGGGGAGCCAGGGACCTGGGATGGGGCAAATGTTGGGTGTGGCAGCATCTCAGAGACTGGCTGTTGGGGGTATGTGAAATCTACCCGCTTCCAAGCCTGAACGTACGCAAATAGGCCTATTTCCCTTTAAGCCTGAACTAGAGGAAGCTGAACTGCTGGGTCATCCTCCTATAAGAGACACCTGGGTGCCTTGAGTTCTGGAGAGGGCAAGGACTTAATCAGGCAGTCAGCCCAAACGGGGCTGATTGTCACCAGTTTGTTGCTTCTCAGGAGTATCTGTGGGGTTTTAATAATTAAATTGTAGGCTTCATGGGATATAGCCCCATCCTAAAGTTAGTGCAGGAAAACCTAAAAAAAAAAACAAAACTGGATTGATAAGAAATATTTGTGGGGTTTTGATCCCAGTAGCCTGATGGTTAGGCAGGGGGTTCAGGACCAGCTCGCCCCCCACCCCACGAGCGCGGAGGGCCCCAGCTGCCACTGGCGGGCTGATAGGGCACGTACTGCACATGGGCGAGCTAGGAGGTTCATATAGCCATCGATTTGGAACAGGGCAAGTGGCTTGAGAAGCTGGGTCTCTGGAGCAGGTTATCGGGGTTACAGTGCACCTGCCTATTCCAAGCCCTGTCCTACACAATTGTGCATATTCTCTCTGAAGGCACAGATGGAGGAGTCTGGACTGCCAGGATGTGGCTTGTTGGGCTGCAGGAATCTCCTTCACAAAGAGACACCTGGGAGCCTTGAAGACTGATAAGCCTGGGACCCATCAGGCAGCCATTCCAAGTGGGGACTGAGCATAGCCAGTTGAAAGGTGCGTCTCAGAAAGATTTTGGGGTGGTGGGCTCCTTCCAGCCTGGAAGGTATGCATGTGGTTCAGGACCAACGCAAGCTCTACAGGACTAGCCTCTAGTCCAGGTTACGGTCTGCAGGCTGACGGGTGCTTTGTGAGCATACTCCAGCCACGCAGGTGAGCGTAGCCAGGCGTCTGGTCCAGGGCAGGTGTCTGGAGAGGCCAGTTCACAGGAGTGGGCTAGCAGGGTACACAGCATCTATTTCTAAGTGCTAATCCACACAAATGCGCACTTCCCCCTAAAGGCAGAGCTGAGGAATCTGGAAGCCTTGCAACGGCTGATTCCAGCATGCTGACCCGGGTGTCCTCAATAAGAGACACCTGGGAGTCTTGATTGCTGCAGAAGCCCTGAACTTCAGAGAAGGGTAAGTACACATATCTCTCACCCATTTCAGTGGCTGCTCAAAAGGACTCTTAGGGGTGGGCGCCTTCCATGCTTGAGACAATGCAAGGAGTTGGGGAGTTGATGGGTGTATACTGTGCATGTGTGAGCCTCCCGGGTCAGGGGAGCCAGGGACTTGGAACAGGCAAGGTCAGGTGAGATCAGTAGCAGACTCTTGGGGGGTGGAGGGGTACCTCCATCTGTCTGGATCCAAGTCCTAATCTACACAAATGCATATATTCCGCCTGAAGTCTGCTTGGTTTGGGGAGCAAATAATGCTCAGACTGATTTTGTCTTTGCCAACAATGTCTTTAACACTAGTTCACTCTGCAAATACCTCCAGCCGATAGCATACAGGGTCATGCTTTTTAATTTACCATTAAAGAAGTAATATATTCCAAACTACTGCTAGATTGATCACACTATTCCAGGCAAAGGGAGATGAAAGCAATAAAGTTCAAATGTAGTTGGTTTATAGGAATCGGCACTTGGAGAGACACCTTTGCCCACCGAGACCTGGCCAGCAGCTGCCAGAACCAAATTAAAAGTTGGGTGCTGCTAGAGCGCGTTTCTAGGGAAGGAGGGTGCTGGTGTTGATGGGCCAGATGTACATCCCTGAGGGGTCTTTGCATGGCTTTCACCCCTGCCCATAAAAGGGCCTCCTTTTCCTCGACAAGAGCTCATTGTTCCAAGGTCTTTGGAGAGAGATTTTAAGTCAGCAGATTGTAGCTTTGCTAGACCGAATACTCTCGGATAGTCCTCACTAGCTGTCGGGGTTTATAGTCTAAGTGCCCTCTTCCCATAGTTGCTTCTCCTGTGTCTTCATTGACACGCCCGCCCCCCCTCTGGGCCCCCCCACCCCACAGCAGTGAGCTACTGGGTTCCTACAGGTGAGAGCAGCTGGGATGATGCCATCCCCTCACAACTTTCTGCATTCTTAGATCAAAACAACTTTTCTACTAAAAACAATTTGGGGGGGCGGGACGGAATTCGCCAGAAACAAGTGGATCTAAAGTCCTATCAAATCAACACACAACGATCCACCCTGTGATTTCAAATCACTCACACTGATTCACACTAGGGCCTAATGCCTTGTACAAATCCAAGTCCACAGAAACATCAATCCACCCTGAGAGTGCACATCATTTACGGCCTTAATCACAATCACATTTTGTGAGTATTTTTCCTTTGATGCACATTCTTTGACATCATACTTTAATGACCAGCATCAGCAACTATATACCTAATATGATCAACAGAAGCATACCAAAGAAATCTTGAATATGGCACCATATCTAATTGTCAAATGATCAAAAGTTAAATTTCTTAAACCAGCACTTTTAACTTCCTTGATAATCATGTTTTCAAGTAAATATTATTTTCTTAAGGTCCCCCTCCAGGGGATACAACCATGCACAGCACTATCAAGCATGTGTCCAGAGACTAGAACATCACAATTCAAGGCTGCCATTTATTTCGGGAATGCATATTTTTGCTCTCTTTCCAATTCCTGAAAAGTTCTTTTACTTTATTAGCCTCAATTTCCAAATGTTTCTATACTTGTCTTTACTTTTCTAACATATGACTTATATTTATTAGATTAATTTTTGGAGGTTCAATGTGAAATATTTCTCTGGTTATTTTAATAGTTCCTTTATTTTCTCTAGCCTCGTATAATATCATTTCCTTCTACTGTTACGTCATGCCCTGTTCTAGTTGTACCCGTCCCATCACGTCGTGTCCTTACATTCCCCTTAACGCCAACAAGTTAGGGAGAGGCTGGGCTTACACCATACTGTCCTGGCCCAATTTCCTATATTCTACAAAACTGGCTAAGGAGGTGTCAAGGCCCTATTCGTAGGTACTCA